AAGGAAAAATTAAAAAAGAAAAAGAATGCAAAAAGCAGACCAAGAAAGGAGCAAAACAGCACCAAAACCATAAACTACAGCAGAGCACAAAACCATCCAGTACATATACAAATAAAAGCAGTAATGAAAAAACCCAGATATTAATATGAAGGAAGATTTTCTTAACCTTCCTCTTGCATGCTTGTTTTCTAGGTTGAGGTTGTAACTACTTTGGGACAACAAATCTTCTCAGTCCACTTTTCCAAGTATCTTATTTACAAAGGCTTAACTGGTGTGAATTACTAATTAGAATAGTGTGATCTCCAGTCAAGACAAATTAATCTGACATTTCCCTAGTCTGCTGGGCTCCCCAGATGTGAGCTGTGGCTCCAGGAGCAGCTGCCTGGATACTATCTATGGTTCAGCCCAGTGGAAGGTACACAACTTACACAGGTTGTGCCTGACTTTCACTCAGCTTAATGCTTCTGCATCTCACTTTAGCTTGACATCTTTTAGGCAAGTAGAAATCCAAATGAATAAATCTCCCGTAAATCTCCTAGGTTATCCACTTCTGTCATTCACACTTATTACGATAATGCCTGTACTGGGAATTGGTCTGTGAGGTGGCAGGGTGGTCACTGAGACAGCAGCTCAGAGCCTGAGCTACCCTGTCAGGTTCACTTCTCAGAGGGTTGTAATATTTCAGTCCCAGTGTTTGACAATGTCCAGCTGGCAGGCTGACAGTGAGATACTCAAAGCACAAGCCAGAGTGAGCTTATTTTCAGCCGGTGAACATATGAAAAACAAAGCTCTGCTTGGTGATGACATTTTCAATCAACTAAGTAATAGGGCACCTTAATTGATATGAGTGAGCTTCATACACTGATACTGGAAGAAAACATGAACTCTGGCTAAATACCTTGCAATAGAGGATTTTGGAATTTTTTTTGGCCTGTGAAATACTCAATATACAAATACGGTAAGCAGTGTTGTACACTGCTGGTGCTGTCTTCCACCAGTTTAAGGCTGTGTTTTGAATACAGTAGGTCATTTACTGTACAACAGAGAACAGCCTTGGGGACAGATGTGTGGAAAACCAGCCATTGAGTGTCTCTCCCCTGTTTGTCAACGTTACATAGATCGAGTGTGCTGACAGCTGCCAAAAAAATTGCCTGATATCACTCTGGACATCTAACCTTTCCCTCTGTGCTTGGCTCTGCCTATTCCACACCCTGAATCCTGTGTCCCATTCCAGGCCCTTACTTCCGCACAGACATTGAGGTGCTTGAGCAAGTCCAGAAAAGAGCAATGGAGCTGGTGAAGGGTCTGGAGCACAAGTCTTACGAGGAGCAGCTGAGGGAGATGGAGGGGGGAAAAAGGAGGTTTGGGGTGACCTTATCACTCTCTACAACCACCTGAAAGAGGCTGTAGCTAGGTGGTGGGTGGTCTCTTCTCCCAGGCAACCAGCAACAGGATAAGAGAAAATGGCCTCAAGCCAGGAGAGGTATGTACAAACCAGGGGAGGTTGATATCACTGGCCAGGGGCTATGTACAAATCACGAACATGACGGGACTGCTGTGGAATGTGTCTTGAGCTGTTTATTTTTTAGCATCAGTCTCATTACATGGTTATGACAATGGGAAGATGCCAGCAACTCACATCCCAGGCAGCAGACCAAGAACTTCATGTTACAACTTACTTTAAAAGCTTTTTGACCAATCACACAAAGCAAAAGCATATTGACAGTAGTTCTACCCAATCACTATAAATACACGTATCTGTGGTTAAAATAGTGCTTGCTTATTTCAAATACAATACCTGCTTGTAAGCCTTAAGATACAATGCACAGAGCTCCATTATTAAGCTTAGAATTTCCTAATATCTCACCAGATATACTTTTCTGCCACTTAGGATCTACCTAAGCGTTAATGCACAGACCATTGTTCTATTTGTCCTTTCTTTCTACTTCTTGTATAATTTTTCTACTGACAAATCTTATAGCTACTGCTTAGCTCTAATCACCATCCTGCTCTCTCTGAGGCCTGCCTTTTGCAACCTGCCCAAAACCCTCTGATTTTAAGGAATCCCACAGTTCAGGTTGGATGTCAGGAGCAATTTCTTCATGGAAAGGGTTTCTAAACACTGCAATGGACTGCCCAAGGAGGGTGATGGAGTCGACACCCCTGGAAGATGTTCAAGAAATGACTGGATGTGACACTCAGTGCTGTGGTCTGTTGATATGGTGGTGTTCAGTCATAAGTTGGACTCGATGGTCTCAGGAGTCATTTCCATCCTAAATGATTCTGTAACTCATCATAAGCATCTCATCTGTCCGTAAGAAGTCAGTAAGAACCTGACTTTCCAAGTAATCCCTACTCAATTGGCTTTATCTGTGCTGAATTACCACCCAGCAGTCCGTGGCGTTTTCGTGCACGTGCGTGAAGAAAAACAATTTATGCGGAGCTTTATTAATTTCCGGGCGTTTCACGTATTTAACACGGCCCAGTGCACGCCCACCGCGCGGCGGGGCTGTGCCGGGCCTGGCGGGGCTGGGCCGGCGCTGCGGTGAGGCCGCGGCGCCATGAGCGGGCGGGCGGAGGTATGGCCGGCCGGCCGTGGGGCTCGGCGGGCTCCTGCAGCCCGGGGCAGCTGCCCTTCCCTCTGAGGCGGCCCTGCATCTGGGCAAGGGGGGCGGGGTGGGTGCGCTGCCGCCTCTGCCGCCCCAGGAGCGGTGTGTCCGTGGCTGGTGGCGGCTGCAGCTCTGTCTCTGTGGGCAGGCCCCTGGCTGTCCTGCCGGCCCTCCGCCTTCCCCTCCCTTGTGTGGCACCTGCCACCCCTCCGGGGCTGCGGGGACAGCAGCTCGGCAGGGCCGCTGAGCGCCTCCCTCGGCCTGGGCCGCTCCTCTGCCGAGTGCTGCCGAGGCTCGCCTTCGGGCACTGGGTTTATCGCAGCCCCGGGGTGGCCTTTTTGCCCCAGAAGCCACCACAGGGGTACTCGTGCTGCCCAGTCCCCGTTCATTCCGCAGACCATGAGCAGATCTTGAGTCTGGATCAGCTCCTCCAGCTGTCTGTGCTGATGGAGGCCCTGTGTCCCCCTGGAGCTTTGCCAAACCTGTGCTGCCCCGTCCCTAGGGAAGGTTCAGTCCTTGCCTGTGTGCAGGCTGCTGCTTCACTCAGTGCTTACCACTGTGTGATTTCAAAATGTTTGCTAGGCTGTGTCTCAATGTCACATAATCTTATGATCTAGACAGCTTGTTAGGTCTGGAAAAGCTAGACGTAGCTATATAGAGAATTTCTGCTTTGAAGCTTCATTCTCTAATGCAGAGCATAAGGTGTGGAGTCATAAAGTGCCTTGCCCATTATTGTATGGAAATTTTCTGATATTTTTTAATAGTAATTTGTAGATGTGTAGACTGGGGACACTTCCTCTTAGGTTTTTTCTGGGATTTTTTTTGGTGGGATTTTTTGTTGTTTTTGGTTTTTTGTTGTTGTTTTGGCTTGTGTTTGTTTTTTTAAGTAATAGTATTGGGGTTTGTTTCATTTCTAGGTTAAAGTGAAAATACCTTTTGGAAACAAATACCTTGATGCTATCTTTTCTGTCCCAGAGAAGAAGCCAACATATGGAGTGATTCTTACTCATGGAGCTGGAGGAGACATGAATTTCCCTCACTTAGTGTCCTTAGCAGCCTATCTTGCATCCCATGGAGTTCTGTGTCTGCGGTTTACTTGTAAAGGCCTTAATGTTGCCTACAGGACTAAGGCTTTCAAAGCAGTTGTGGTAAGGAGTGACCAAATTCTTAGACCAAAGCTTAGATCTGTGGGTGCTGTCTTCCAGGTTTCTTAAATTACAGCCAGAGATTAGGCAAGCAACAGTGGGAAAATTAGAACCAATGTTTAGGTAAATGGAGCACTTTGTGTGAACAGAAACAGCAGAAGCAGTTCTTAGATGGCAACAGCTGGAACAGCTGCCACAAGTGTGCGGGTTTGAGTTCAGGGAAGAAGAAAAGCCTGACAAAAAGCAAAGGTGTTTCATGGGAAAACTTACAGCTTGCAAAAAGTGGAAGAATTTAGGATGGAAACAAGCTGGGTGAAGAATTTAGGATGGGCAATCTGCGTGCATTGAGCAGGAGGCATTTTTATAGGGGAACAAAGTCCAGTTCTAAAGGAATTTTGTATGATGTGATTATATGTACATTAATTTGAAGTCAGACTTTACTGTCTTTAATGGGCATCTCCAGTTTTTATGGAAGAAACATAATGTTGTTAGTGCATTTATGTTAATATGCTGCTATGTAAAGGTAATTTTTAAGGCATCTGCTAAGATAGCATCTGATTAGTTATCTCCTAAAACCTGAAAAAATGTTGCTGAATTTTATCTTTTCTGTTGGACTTAACTGATCATGTCACAAATACATAACCTTAATGAAGGGCATTTTTGCAAACCTGCTATTCCTTTTGATGGGCCAAGGGGATGCATGGGGTCTGTTACTATAACTCGGTTGATACATAGTAATCACTTGTTTTGGTAACTTTATAGGGCATCTGATATTTTAGACTTGCTAAGAGCCAATGTGAAGTTGATTATGTTGTTATGAAACCATTTATGTGATAAAACCCAAGAGAGCACCTTGTATATATCTGTTCTTTAACCTGCAGTGCTCAAAGAGCTTCCGATTTTCTGTGTAGTAGCTACAAACAGAAGAGATCCCCAGCTTCCCAACTATCTTAATTCTGACTTGTAATGCTTCTCTTTCTCTTATTTCTTTAGGAATACTTAAAACTTTGTGAAGATTATAAACTTTCTGGTGTTTTCCTTGCAGGTATTGTTTTTATTATCAATAATTTTCTCTCTTATACGGTCTCTAGTAATAGCAATCTGTAAGTATTCCAAGTCTTTCCCACTTTGATGAGAAGTGAATGAACCCTCCTTATGATACCATAGATCTTGCTGCAGAAGAGGAAAGAAAGAGCAATAGATTGTATTTTCCAGGTACTTTAGGAGAAAATTTCCTTGTCACTTAGAATTTACAGGACATGAGTTTTCTGATTATCCATGTGTACTTTTTAATTGCAGGTGTTGAAGAATTCTGGTTACTGATAAATGGAAAACAGTTTTTCCAAAACAGGTTTTGGTAATTAAAATTTAGTGGCAGATAAAAAAAGTTCAGCTATGTTTTGTGAAAAGGGGAATAGATGGGGGTGATCAGGAATATCTTGATAGGGGAAATTCTATATTTTCTCTTAAGTGAAACCAAATCTGTGCTGCTGTAAGAACTAGCGAATTGTAACACTCAATTACAGTGCATTGCCAGCTCATATGCCTCCTCTTTGAGGAGATACTTGGATATTCCCTTGATGTTACTCACTGACCTCATGTTCCAAGTTCACACTCTTTTTCCTCCCTTCTACTTTTACTTTTAGGCTGAAGTTCAAGGTGTGCATAAACACTTGCTGCATTTATTTTGCGAGCCAAGTGAAATCAAGCACAAAATTTTGTTTTGAATTTGAGCAAATTGAGGTTGCATGAAAATAATGATACAGGATACTATCATGGCTATCTCAAATTTCCATGCTCTGGAGTGTAGGACCAGTTCCTCTCTTCCCAGGATTGGCTGTTGTTCCTTCTAGTATTGCAAGGGTTCCCTTTCAATTTATATTTTCTTTCTTTTCCCCTTCTTTTTTAAACAGGGATGTAGATGTTGCAGCTAGACAAATATCCTAGCAGAAAACGTTGAAATTAGGATTAATGTTTTTCATAAAGTAGAACATCCCTAGCATTTTGTGACAGTGAAATACACTCAGTTGGATTGGTTTTGGGAGTTGTTTACTAAACCAGAACGTAGATGACATGACAGCAGATAATGTTTTTCCTTTATTTCTGCATGGGAGAAAGGCCGTTCCATGGGCTCACGAGCTGCTGCCTCTGTGATACATCAGCTGAGCCAGGGTGATGATGATGATGGCTTCATTCAAGGTCTCCTGTGTTTATCTTACCCATTGCATCGACCAAAACTGCAGTCCAAGCTCCGGGATGAGGATTTATTACTGATCACGTGTCCGGTGCTGTTTATCTCAGGATCGGCAGATGAGATGTGTGAAAAAGTGAGTACCCTTGTAAATCCTGCTATGAAAGGGCAGTATGGAGGAGCAGCAATGAGCCTCAGTGATATCTGTATCTCACCTGATTAACAGCCTTGCCTAAATAGGTGTCTTCTGAAGGAAGCCTTGGGTAGAAAACTTATTAGACACAAGGAAGCCTGGCAGTGCTTCCTTTTGCTGCGTAAAACTTAATGGACCATGCTTGATCTTCCACTTCAGCAAGCTCACCTTTGGGTCAACGAAATACCCCTGATTTAAATGGTTTCAATAGAATTGCACAAATTAAAAGTGGTCTATGGAAGGAGCAAGTTATTTGCTATTTTGTTTTAACCATTTCAAGTTACAAAACCTGTGTGGTGCCACCAAATGTCACACTGGTCACATTTGCATGGCAAATTCTAGCAAAGGAGTTCTACCTCCAAGTCAGGGTTCTGTGGTAGAAAGTGGTATTTTTGTAGAGATGAAGAGCAGGTGTACAAAGGCAGGGGAACAGTGCTTTTCTGCCATGTTTTCTTGCAAACAGGTATCCTGTTGTTTTGAACAGGTCAGTGTGAATTTGGGGCTATGTGCAATTGGCATTTTCTGTGCTTGGACAGTTTCTAAGGAGTCATAATGCTTCCATGAGGAATTGTCACCAAAATAAGTCAGGCTAGTGACCAGCAGATCTTTGGAGTACCTTCTTAATGGGGGAATCTTTGACTTTGTGAACTGGTTCTTCGATCCGTTTACTGAGAAATTTCAACAGTGTCAAAGTTAGTTCCTAAGGAATTACGTTGCTACTCAGCCTCTGCAGACAAATCTGACTTCGATTCTATCATTTTATAGCCAGTACTACCCTCTGACAGTAAAAATGGACTCCTTTGAAGTTCTAAATTTCTGCTATTCTCTGAGTGAGGGTGATGCTTTGAGCAGATCCCAGTATTCAAATCCTGACTAGAGAATACATCCCATTTTCCTAGCAAGGTGTTTTTCATGTGCACACAGATCCATCTATCTGTTTTTAAGGAGCTGCCTATTTTGCATTACATAGGCAAAGTAAGAGACATCTAGGAGTTCCAGAGTTTGTAGCAGCCAATTCTCTAATATTTGCATTCATGTTTTTCTCCATAGCAATTGCTAGAAGGTGTGGTGAGAAAAATGAAAGCCCCTAAAAAAATCCATTGGATTGATAAAGCAAACCATGGGATGGCGGTCAAAGGACGAACAGCAGATGATGTCATGGAAGAAGTAAATGCACAAGTTTTTTCTTGGCTTAGAGAGAATGTTCAACTGCAGCACAAATAATTTGCAGTGTTTGAGCAATATCTTAATTTAGTTTTTCCTAAATGTGGCAAACAAGGGGTTTGTTATTTTTTAGAGGCTTTTTTTTTTTTTAACTGATGTTTTCAGATGTCTAAGTGCAAATGCAAATAAAGCTTTGTATAAATAAAAAAAAAATGCAAAACAATAAAAAATACCTGAAGGACAGAAAATACATCATGGCAGCATTGTTCTGTGTTTCTATGCAAATATCCATATACAACACTTGGGAATGCAGAGGATTAAGTAATGCTTTTGACTAATATTTGAAGTAATATACTGGAAAAAATCTATTTAGACAGCATATCTTTAGGGTTCCTCAATTTTTGAGTATATTACTGATGCTGTATTCACTTGCAATTAAAACCTACTGCTTTTTAGGCTTCTGCCAGCACATCCCCTGAGGCTGGTGAGCCTGGTGTACAAATATGTACTTTGCCTTGGTTCTATGTGCTGGCCTTCCAGGTGCTTCCAAACCTGTGAGGCAGGGAGAGGAATCTCTGGTTGGTCACAGTGTCTGCCACCTTAGGGAGCCAGATTCTGCCTGTGTGAGGAGGAGGAGGAGGTAATGCAGGCACAGCTGGACAAGTGGAGTAAAGAACATGGCTCAGTTTTAAGAAGTCCCCTTCGCCAGTGTCCTTTGTGTAAAGGACTGATCACAGAGGCCTTCTGATAAATAAAAACTGATAGATAAATTATGTTCAGTGATGGAGGAACTCCTGGAGCAGGAACCAGTTCTGCATCCATTGTGACAGGAGAAACTCGGGTGCCTGTCTGAGCACTGACAGTGGAGAGTGGATTAAACACTGTGTGTACTGGCAGCTGCAGCCTTTCTCATTACGGCCTGTGAGTAACCTGTTGGTAAACCAAACCTACAACAATACTGGAATTGTGCTTTTCCTTCATGTTAACAAGATTTATTATGGACCCCACAGCATTGCCCCTTCTGAGAGAATCTCAAAGATGAAAGTATGGTCTGAAAAATTATGCCTTTGGATAGATGGATGGATAGAGTGAGTGAGTGAATGAGTGAGTGAATAGGGGAGAAGATGTACAATCCTCATCTGCCCTTATTTGCAGAACAGTTTCATGTTTGTGAAAAGACTTACAAGCATGAGTAAAAAGTATCTGCATTTCCAAGGTAACTCAGGACAGGAACACATGACTGATACAAACATGATTTTTATTAAAAAAAAAAAATTATAAAAATGTGTTTGAATAAGGCTCTGCCACCACTGCATGATAAAAAGGAAACCAGGGGTGCTTTGTTTTCTTCCATACATAGATCTTGAAATGGTAGACTTTAAAATATCCACTGACATTATCCACGGGCATACTAAACCAGATTTTTGTTTTTTCTTTAAGAAGACAGTCTGAATTTAGGTAAATACTGAAAAAAAAATATTTACTTCTGTCAGAGTTCATCTTTGGCCTGCAGTGAAAAAAGAAGAAACATGTTTTAGTTAACTGGAAGCCTATTTTTCACTGTCTAGTCTTGCAAATACATCAAGAAGTGTTTCTAAGTTCGATAGGTGTTAATGGCCTGGCCTGATAACTGATACTAAGGGGCACTGAGCAGCCCTGCTGCCGGGGCTGAGCAGGAACTGAAGACACTCAGCACTTTCCATTTAACTCTGCATGGGCTGTACCTTTTTTCGGTGGCAAGTGCATGGGAAAAGGTCATCATCGGGCTGCTGCACCTTCTCCATCCCATCTCTGATTTTTGGTTCACTCACTTGCAAGCCAGCATATTCCTAGTTTTAAAAAAAGGAAGGTATTGTTAATCCATAATCTTTTTAGATTGTACATCTAGTTGCCAATATTGTACCAAATCAGCTAAGCAATTCTGTAAAAACTCTGGGGCTACACAATCTGTTCCTTCAGACCGTCACAGACAGGGTGAGGGAACACTCAGCTGCAGTTGGGAGCCCCTTCGGGTGCCTCCCTGGAGTTCGGTATCTTGGTGCTAATGCACAGATATTTTCAGCTGTGGTTCACAGGGTGTGCGCCTGATGTGGAATTCTTTGATCATTGTGGGCAACATATTCTGGCAGATTAGATCAAGATTTATGGGATCCCACTGCCTCTCAAAGACCCAGTGTAGTCTTAAAGGGGTTTCATAGTATATAATGGAATACAGTATTTGTAAACTAAATGAAGACTTTAATTACTGCTGCTTGTTTCATGGCTTCAAGTACCAGACTGGCCAATTTCCAGCAGCTCTGTTGCCCTAAATTCTTGCTCTGTGATTTCTATTTCTGTGCCAGTGGCCAAAAATATACTGACCTGGAAAAGTTTGAAATAGTAACAAAAAATGTGGTCTCCCATGAGATTGTTTCTTGCAAATTCTTGTCCAGATTTTGCAATATTTTTTGCCTGTCAAAGAAAATGAAAGTTTGGTTTATTTTTTTTATTGCTCAGAACTAGTATTCATTTCAGTGTGCTCATGTTGGTTGTGGAATTACCAATGAAGGTGACAGTTTAGGATAACTCAAATAAAACATTCTTTTTAAAAGTTAAGGCATTGTTAGGACGATACTCTTTTTCTTCCTGAAGTTCAATTTGATTTCAAATTAAGGACCATATTATGCATTTTTGAGTGTTTTTCTTATTTGTAGAGTTGATGAAAATAAATTTCAAGTTCTCCTAGTATTTTTTTTTGCTTTGTTTTTAAGAAATTCAGTATTTGTTCTCTTCTAGAAACATTACTGTATACTTCTATCTAAATGCATATTTTACCTCTTCATCATGATCTTTTGCCCACTGTAGTTTTTCTAGCAGATCACTCAGGTCACTTTTAAATGGGATGTAATGTTTCCATGGCTGCAGCTCGTTATAAAAGTGCTCATAGTAGATGGAGTCTTGCTTTAGCACCACACTGTTTCCTGCTAGTAGATAAGGCAATCTGTATGCTGCCACTGTGCCATCAATATTAATTTGATATTTATACTGGAAAGAAAAGGACCAGAAGTTATTGAAAACCACAAGATCCCAGTGGCTTGGTCAGGTTATATTCTGAGGTTACTGGTGTTACTGACTTGCCGATATTGAGACAGGTAGGACTGGCTAGGCAAGCATCCATTGATGCTCTAAGAAGCTTTTATTATCTAGTTTGGAATTCATCACAGTGCAGGGTACACGGAGCTTCATCAATTAAGTTCTCCGGGAATTCTTAGGTGCTCATCCTCGGATGTGAGGGTAGATGTGCCACTTCATCCACAGATTTTCCCACTATGTTAGTTATGTTAGTAGTCCTGATCGCTGAATCAGGAAAAAGAAATAAAAAGGAACTTGAAGTTATGTAGATGACACAAGGTTCTACAGAACCTTTAGATGTAAACCAGACATTACTATCCTGAGGGTAAGAGCTACATAGCAGTTAATCCCACTGGAGGGATATCTAGTCATGCTTGTTACTTGTGGTGTCCTGAAAGAATAAAAATCACTCCATTTTCAGTAATATATAATAAGTTATTTGATAATGGGAAACAGTGAGAACTGAGTTCTATGAAAAATGATTAGTAGCTTACCTTAAAAAAATCGAAAAATGAAATGTGCTTAACAATAGGGCCATAGAGGCTTTCATCATGTTTAAAGAAAAAAAAGTTTGTGAAAGCAGCATCTATGATCTCTGGATATTTCCTGCTGAGTTTCACAAGCTCAAGCCTCTCTTTGCGGCTGTCACGTCCTCTCCAGAAGGCTGTGGTATTCTTGTCTTCCCACGGTGGGCCAGTGTTTGCTTGGACTGACATCATATCCAGGCTGACTCTGCAGGAGAAAGAAGTGATTTAATAGTGAAGCCTACTGGAAACTTTTTAAAGTGCAGTTACTTAAAAGAGCTCATAGTACCCATAGACAGAGAGCAAAGGTGAAGGCAAGTCATGAGCAAACCATCATGTGTTACTGTATCAGTCATTTGCAGCAATAGGAACAGATAATGAATGTTACGTTCACAGGTGTGTGGCATGCCAGCATCATTCAACAACATGGCATGTGGAAACAATACCTGTCAGCTGCCATGGAAAAAATAGGTAAAAGTGGATATGGTTGCCAGAGAAGGTTGATCCAAGGTGGTGTAACTTGCTTTATAAAACATATTCCACGTCCTTAAAAATGTTAAGAAATTAAACACATAAACTGGGAGGGCAAGGGATAGAAAATTTACAAAAAGTCTTGACAAAAAGAAGGAACCTGAACTAAATGCAGTGAAATGATAAACAAGTTCAAGATGGATTACAAAGATTTCTTAAAAACAAGCTGTCTTTGTAGTGTTTCAAGACAGAACAGAGCAGTTGCCAAGGCTAGTTATGGTCAGTAATCAAAGTGGGAGATGGTAGCTCCTAGTTTGAAAATTCCCAATAGCTATGTTGGGATTTGAAAGGTACACAAAAACCAAATTCTAACAAAATCAGGAAAGAAAGACACCTGGCCAGTTGTCAATAAGTTCATGGGGGGAAAAACAAATCAAATGCCTAGCCATGAAACACTCTTAAGTGCTGTTTTCAGTGATTTGACCATGTTTAGATAAATTTAGATTTTTGAAATGAAACAGTATAGTATAATATAAATATATTGATTACACAGTCACTGCCTACCTAGGGTGCCAGTGTCTCAATGAGTAAATGAAAATAAAATACTGTTAATACAGATCTCTATGGAAGATCATTAATTGTGAATTTTTAAGTTTAAAAGTTTAAGGTATTTCTTACCGTCCCATAGTCTCCAAAACTGAGTCTGTTAAGTCGTATGTTGGCATGACAATGTCTTTTGACTCACTGGACCCACACCATGAGAAGATTGGGTGCAAGTTCTGTGGGGGTTTCCTTTTTTCCAGAGGCCAGTCTCCCAAATTAACAAAAAATTCTACATCTGGCATTTTCACCTAAACAGAAGCAAATGCATTTTAGCACAAACAGCATTCTGCTGGCATCTTGCATTTTGAAAAGAACCTCACTAAGAGGAAAAATGGTGTCTAATATACTTAATGTTCCTGTAATAAATCATTGACACTTAGAAACCTGTTAAAAGTACTGAGACCACATAGTAAAGCCTACAAAACAGTATTTTTTTATAAAAGCTTTGTACAAAGTCACATAAGACATAGGAGTACCCTTTTTAGAGTATGGTTTCCTGTTATACTTTACATGATTGGCCACACAATCTTTTTATTAGGCTAGTGGTGGGACCTAGTCAGAAATTGTATAGTTCCAAGGTAAGTTGGATCACCTTGTTACTACATGGAAAATTCATGCTGGCTGGTAAATCAGTTTTCTGTCACATCACTGATCTGATTCACCCTGTGTCTGCAGGATGCCTAAATCAAACAGAAGAGAAGAAACAGAAATATACAGCCATGATGGGAAGACCAAATTTCTGGTGCTTTGGTTAATTATTAAATATAACATCATTACTTATTTAAAATATTTGGTAGTGTGGAACCATACCTGAAATCACTGTCCCAGCCAAAAGGCAAGAAAAATACTGTTGATGGCCAGGAAGCAGGACAGAGGGCATAATTTTGCTGCTTTATGAAACTGTGATGCACCCCTATATTAAACATTGTGTGTGATTTGGATATGGTGATTTGGATACTTCAAGTGAAGTAAGAAAAGGTAGTTTTCCACAGAAAGAGCCAGCTGCCTTGTGAGGAAACACTAAAAATGGTGGGACAGTTCAGTTTGGAGAGCAAAAGGTAAAACATGACATATGGCTGTGTTTTACAGAACCCTGAAGGCACATATAAGGTCACTGCAGAACTACTGTAGTATCTCAGTTCACTCTCTTAATTTCATTTCATTTTTAAAAAAACATACATATCCAATACATCCCCCTCAGTTACCTCTTTCAAAGCAAAAGAAATAATTTGCTAAATACCAACACTTCTAAGTGGTGGAAGATACTCTTTCCCTTTCAAAGGGTTTTTGCACCACATTCCAATGCCCAGCACTAGACTTCATTACTACGGTGCCATCTAATGGCTGTGATGGGTATAAACCCTACAAATTGTATTTCCTACACATCCTCAGCAGCTGAATCAATCAGCAGCTTAAATCTTCTCCAACCATCTACTGTCACTCAGTAACACTATCCTAATAAAAGTTCTTATTTAATGGTATTTAACGGAAATGAGACAAACTGTGTTTTCTAGATCTGTAAACAGTTTCTAGCTTTGGAGTTAGCAATCCTTTTTCAACTTTTAGTCTAAAGTCCTTAGATGCAATTTAACTCCATTATTTCTTGTCTAACACTACTGACACAAAGAACAGTTTACTTCCATCTTCCAGAGAACAATCTTTTAGGTAATTGTAGTCTACATTCATGTCTTCCCTTAGACATCATGTCCTGCTGTAGATAGTGTTAGATGAAACAATCCCCAGTTAAATTAATGTTTATTTGTACATTTAGTAATTTGTCCCATTTTCCTGTGCAGTGTTAGTTCAGCAATGTTAGCAGCTGAGCAATCCTTAAAACATGACACCCAAAGGCAGACAGAGTAGCATAACTGATCCATTACTAATCCTGAGGATAGTGGAAAGGTTACTTGATATTTCTTTAACAGGTTACGTTAACTTGTGTTCAGCTTTTTGCAGCAATGTACCTGCAGAAACAGATTTTTCTGTTAGATGCTACAGGATGATTTATTTATTCTACAGAAAAAAAACCCCAAACCAATAAACCTTGTCCTGACTTATCAAAATCACCTATAAAAGCCTACTTATTCAATTCATTTTTGTGATACTCAATCAGATGGCATTC